CACACACAAGAGCCTGGTGTGTTTCAAGCTGCCGGGTCTGGGACTCAAACCATGATCGACTAACGTGGGAATCTAGTGACATAACCATATGCCATCTGCTGGCCCCACTTATTGCAGGAAGTTCTGTTGGATAGCTCTCTACTGTATTCTAGGAGAGTGCTAAAGGTAGGATCTGTGATGTGCATCTTTATAGTTCCAGCACCTCATATCTACCAGGTAGACAAAACATATTTGCTGAATTAACTAATCACATATTTAATAATGAGCTATTGTTTTTGAGCATCTGCGAAATGCCAGGTACTATTCATAGATAAAGGATCCAACAAGGACAAGTCTCTGGGTTTTTTTGGTGCTCACAGCCTAGTAAAAAGCATGCAAAAAACAAAGACAAGAAAACATACAGAGGCATAACACAATTAACAGCTCAGGACAGAACCATGAAGGAACCACATGGGTCACTGGTAAACATGCAGAGTGAAAGGAAATGCAACCAGAAACAAGGTTAAGGCCCGATTCTGAGGGGCCTTGAATTCCATAGTAAGAAGCCTGAAGTTAATGTAGTAGAAAACCAACGAACCATTTAAGAATTTAAGCAGTGAAGTCAACTTGATCCAGTTTGTGTTTCTAAAGCAGCTTGGTTGGGGGATACAGAAGGGAAGAGATGCTCATGGTGGGCAAAAGAGCCGGGACACCCTGGCAAGTCTGGGGTGCAAGAATGGAGAAAGGCAGTGGGGGAGGAGAAGGAACTCAGCCCACGCTAATTCCCCTTCCCATTCAGTCATCAGACCTGTCTGTCTCTGATGACTGAATGGGAAGGGGAGCAAAAGACACCTCCAAAGAAACATGCTGGGGATGGGAGTGGAGGGTCTGTGATAGACTCCACCCCAGCTTCATTCAGGGGCTTCGTTATGGGTGATTAATTCATGGCCAAGTTACTTTCTTATGAAGGTTAGTACAGATACATCAGTGTGACAGGTGAGGTGTGGGGGAAGAAGGCTCGGTGTGTTTAAGTCAGAGCTGAATATTAGATTCTAGTCACTATTTGATTGATCTTTTAAGCAATTCTGGGATTCTGTCACTTAAAAACCAATAAATCTTTGAAGGCCTGAGGAAAGCAATACAAAAGCAATAAATCTCCATTGTGGAGCATTAGAAAAATAGGCCAAGCTGCTGAGGTGGTTTGGCTGGAGGGATGAGGGTGCAGGAGCCCCACACAGTGGTCCTCCCTGCCATCCCTTCTTCCCTCCCTGCACTCTCAGCTCCTCCAGAGTCAGACCCATGTGACTTCAGGGAGAAGCAAATGCATAGCAGGGGCTACAGACTGGCTCAGCCAGGATCAGAGTATGGCAGACAGGCAGACAAGAGAACAGCCTAAGTGGGGTCTGGAGACTGAGGTGTAGGTTTGAGACTGAGAACTGGCTGGGCCCACGCAATCCAGAGTTGGAGGATCTCTGAGAAGTCATCTTGCCCATCTTCCCTCCCCTTGTTGGTGGAGGTTTCCATGTAGCATCCCTACCAAAGGGTCACCTTGTCATCACTTGACAGGCCAGGCAGGGAACTAAGAGCTTCCTCTGGGAGCAATGAATCAGAGTCAGGAATCTAGATCAATATACTGGCTTTACCTGGAATGAGCCCTATACCTCAGGCCTATCATTTCACATCTCAGACTTGAGTCTCCTCTTCTGAAATGTAGATTGTATTTCTTACACAGCTTACTCACCAAGAAAGTGAGGATCTGATAAAACAATGGAGGAAAGGGAATTCTCAACTGTAAAATGTGATTAAGGCATCCTTGACCCAATGCATCTAGTGAGCTGTTTGTGTCTTGGTGTCATAGCATACATAGAATAACATGTTGTTCTCTCATGTGCTCCTATCTCCCCAACCAGCAGGAGTCTACACTGGCCCACATTCCAGGGTTGAGCTCATCTCTCAACCAGTTATTGCTTCTGTCAATCAACACAGTCACTGTTCCTAGTGGCTTCATATCATCTTTTCTGTTTTGCTGCTTTCGTTACTTGGTTTGCTTATTCACTTAATGCCCCACCTCCCTGACCCAGTCACACAATCACTTGCTAGATGGTAAGCTTCCAGAGAGCAGGGCTATGCCATCTTTCCTGCTACATCCTCATGCCTTACACTCTTCCTGGGACATAGCAAGTACTCAACAAATGTCTAATGAATGACCTGGCAGTCAGCTGCTTCCCATATGCACAATCTAGTATCAAAGGTTAAAGTGAAAAAAAGGCTAAGGTAACTGAAATTGGTTACGATATTTCCACTTCTGTCCCTGCCATTGTCCTGAAAGTTAGGGGGTGGCATCAGTTAGTCTCCCTCTCTTTTTGGCAAACACCCAAGAAACAAAGTCTGAAAGTAATTCCAGAAATTAAGAGTATACCCACCCTCAGTGATCCAGAGCCTCGAGAAGAAAAGGAGTCAGACATTTCCAGACACCAATCATCTCCCCTTTGAGCAGTGACATTTCTTTTCTTCTAAATTTTTGGATAGAAATGTCACCAAAATAGATCATGCACATCTTTTTGCAAGGGAGGTAGTATAATATAGCAAAATGAATGTGGGCTTAGGGTCACCACAACTGGGTTTAGTTTGCCTGGACGATGTGCATGCTTCATGGCCAGGGTCAACTCACTTAGCCTCTGTTTTTCCCCACTTTTATATCTCCAAAATGGAAAGACTACTACAATGCTGTAAGAATATAGATAGTGTTATGTACGGACAGCAACAGGCACACAGCAAGTGCTTGCTTATTAAACGGAAGATAGCAGGCTCTAGGACCTGCTTTTTATTTATTTATTTTTTTTTGAGAGGTTTTTGCTATAGGGCGTGTGCCCTTACCAGAAAGATAGAAAGGGAGAAATCACACACACACACACCCCAGGGGGGAAGGCCACACTGCAATCCCTTCTCCTCCATTCTCCTCTTGGGATCTTGGGCACGCATGCACACACGCCTGGCATGAGTTTAAACCACCAGGTCTAGGACTCGAACTGCAGTCAACTACATGGGAGTCCAGCGACATAGCCATTATGCCAACTGCTGGCCAACTGCAAAGATCTTTTTTGAATAGAATCTCAGGATTCTGCTTGATTTTTGAGCCCCTTTGTCTGGGGCTGCCCTGCTCCTTTAACTCTCTTCCAGGTGTCATTTCTCACTGCTGCTGGGGGTACATCCATCTCCACCTCCCTCTTCATAGTTTACTGTAACCTTAGAATGGATGCACTTGCTAAATAGATGTGCAAACTAAGAGTATGTAGGATCAGAGGAAAAGCATAAGGGCTATTGTTTGTGGAAACTGGACATGTTTCCCAAGCATTTGATCTGCTGCTTGGAAGATCTCTTAGCTGGGAATGAAGGAGCTTGACCTCTGCAATCAGTCAGGCCTGTATGTTAGGTCCTGGCTCCATCACTTACTGGCTCCATGATCTGAGTTTTTTAACTTATTATTACTTATTCCTGAGTAGTAATACTGATACACATAGGTTGGTTAGGATTAGTCCCTTGGAACATAGAAGTTGCCCAGTAAACAAAAGCAGTGCTAATTATTCCTGTCTATGTTCACTTATTTCTGATGGGTTCTCAGAGATTCACAGCTATACAATCCAAGTCACCCTGAGAACGACTTCCTGATTCTCTGTTCATATATTAATTTCATCCCACCACTGGGAAGGACCCAGTTTGTGTATTTCTTATGTAGAGACAATTTTAAAACATTTTTCTAAAACTTGAAGTCTACAGATTTTAAAAAAAAGGTTTGTGAAGACTATTTTGAACTGGAGAGGTTATTTAGGGGCTCCTAAGTATCCCTCCCACCACCCTAGAATCAGGATCTTAAACAGCTTTGACGATTTACATGGCAGGACGCAGGCAACACAACAACCCTGCAGTGAGGCATGGCGTTGCAAAGACCTTTTGGAACAGAATCTCAGGATTCTTCTAGGAAGAAGCAAAGGTAAGAAAGGCACCAGAACTTTGACAGTCTGCCTTGCTCAGAGTACTTCCCCAGTTTATCTGTGAATTAGTTACTGTCCATACCTTACATGTAAGGAAATTGAGTCTTCAGAGTTTAATCCTCTTCTTTAAGGTCATACAGCAGTGTTAGAGTAGGATTTGAATCCAGGTTTACTGCCACTGAATTCCCATTTTCCCCCCATTGCCTCAAATGCAGCCAGCAGACTGTGGAGAGCTGCAATGAGTCACCACTCTCTCCTGTTCCTGCCCCATCCCTGGCATGTGGCTACTCACTGCATACTTGTTGAACTAAACTGAACCAACATGAAAGTTGTTCCACGTAACACTCCACTTCATTTCAAGAGAATGTAGTCCTGCTTCCCGGAGTTCTCAGCAGTCCATATTGTTGCCCTTGTCTAAAATGTAGTTTGTTTAGAGATGACAGCTTGTTGCCTGTGAACTTATGTTGGCCAGCTTAGCCCCTGAGATGTATTTGCTAAGTGGATACGAGCATGCTCCCAAGCTCCACCCTCGTGTTAGGGTTAGTGTGACCTTAGCAGCCAGTGCCCCTTGGGACTCAAGCATTCTATGGCTTTACACTGGTCTAGCCTCCAGATCTTGCCCCATTTGCAGTTTCTGAGGTTGTTTTCAGAATTCAGCATATCGTCTTGTCTATCTGTCAGTTATTGGCAGTCAATCAAGCTATCTTGCTGGGAAACTATCCTCAAGACCTCAGCCTCACTAACCAATTTACCATAGAGCATTCCAAAAGGTTCTCTGCCAGACTTATCTCAGGGACTTATCAACATCTTTCCTGAATACTCTATTGGGGAGGTGGGGGAGTCACAGGATTCTGGCTCACAGTCCCCTGATGAATTGGTCTTGAAACTGTTGACCTTCATGACCTTCTTCTTTCCAGGAAGCCTTCCTCCCAGTCCCAGCCATGAGCTGTGTTAGTCACATGACCCATCTGCAGATGTGTATGATGCAGAAGAGGAAAGCTGCACATTCCAAGAGAAGTACCTCCTCACCTGACAGGGGCTCCCCGGGACTGTGCAGGCTTCAGCATCACCGTGATGGTCGTGTCCGTTTCATTCAGTGGGGTGTCTGTGTCATACTCAGGCATCGATGGAGCTGAGTAGGGAACAGAAACGGAGGTGAGCTTAGCACAGGTCCCAAACCTCACTCACTACCTCCCCTTCTTGCCCTCTTAAAGACACTTAGGAACACTAGAGGTGGCATGGGAGGTTTTCAACAAAGGAAGTCCTGATTTCTCACCTGCCCTTAGGCTACTTTAAGGTGTAGCAGTCTAGGAAAAGGGGGCAGTGATGTGGCCAGTAACCCACATGAATCAGAAAGTTCTACAAGAAGGTGCCAGCAGGTAGCATGGTGATTAAGGTGTTGTACTCCCACATGGCTAATCACGGTTTGAGTCCTGGACCTGGTGGCTTGAAATCACACCAGGTGCATATGTGTGGGTGCCCAAAGTTCTGAGAGGAGAATGGAGGAAAAGCGACTGGACTGTGGCCATACCCCTGGGGATGATTTCTTGTGCTCTTTCTCTCTCTCTGGCAAGCACACATGCCCTATTACAGAAAATGAAACAACAAAAACAATAAGCTCTATAAGGAATTAACAGATACATTCAGAAAATATATACATTTAGCACAGGTGTGAAAGCAGAGTCAACCTTGTTTAACATATCTAAAATACAAATACAGTCAATGATAAACTAGTCCCCTCTGCCTTTTTGTTCCCCCCATGAGACTCCTTTTTATAGTCAACTGAGAGTACATTAGATTCAGTACAACTGAATCTAATCCTTCAGGAAGATAACTTAGTCATTTGTATTAAGAGTTATTAAACCCACATCCCCTTTCATTTAGAATTTCAATTTTTGAATTTAATTTCTGAGGTCATAATCTGAATCAATAAATTAAATTTTATTTAAATGAAAGTTTATTGAAGCACTATTTTGTGAAAACATGGCAGCATCAAATACATCCAGCCATGGAGGAATGTTTAATTAGATCAGATCCATCCATGTGACAGAACATGATAATGAAAATAATGTAGCCATAAAGAACATGCTTAAGGGATAAGGATAAGTGAAAAAAAGAAGCCATAAAAAAGCATCATGCTACTTTGTAAAAACCACACGCCAAACACTTATGGATGTAGACCAGAATGGCAAAGATATTTGGAAGGCTGAAAGTTGTAGAAGTTTGCATATAATTCTTTGATGCTAATGGTATAGGAGGCCCCACTGGGGATGATAGTTTGCATGCTTGGACACTGGTCCTGTAACATTCATTCATTCACTTATCTATTTTATGAGTACTTGTGGCATGTGTTGCATTTGCAACAAAAGAATATTCCTGAAAACAAATTTATAAACCATAATATATGTAATATATGCATATATGTGTACACATGTATATGCAGTATTTAATACAAGTCATTGGCCTGTGGCAAATTATTTAGAGAATCACCACCTAATTTATATATTATATATATATATATATATATGTGTGTGTGTGTGTGTGTGTGTGTGTAATTTTTTTTTTTAGGTTTCTGCCATAGCATGTGTGTGCTCACTGGAGACAGAAAGAGACAGAGAGGAAAAGTGAGAAATCACTCCCCAGGGGGGATGGTCACACCACAATCCCTTCTCCATTCTCCCCTTGGGATTTTGGGCATGCACGCACACATGTCTGGTGTGATTTCTAAGCCATCAGGTCTAAGACTCAAACTGCAGTCAACAATGTGAGAATCCATTGCCTTAACCACCATGTCACCTGCTATCCCCATATTTTTTACACTTTGAGAAGTTCATCAATTTGGTTTTCTTCATGAGACAATAATGGCAACCCTCAAGGGACTGTGTTATCCTCTCATATCACATAGCAACAGTTGGATCTGCCTTTTTTAACTCCCAGAAAATAGATAAGAGATAATGCCCTTCATCTCTTTTCTAAAATAGATACCTGAAATTTTAGTGGCGATCCGAGTGGTGACGGGAGGCCCAAAGCCCTTTGCTGTGCTGGCCTTGATGGTGAAGGAGTAGGTAGTCCCAGGGTACAGACCCACAAAGAGGTGGTGGGTTTCGTTCCGGAGTTTGAACACCTTCCCCCTCTGGCTGGAGAGGTCAGCACTTGGGTCCAGGGAGCCAACGGCCTTGTAGTTGATCTGTACAAAAAGCCAGGAAACACACACATGAGCATCTCAAGTAGGAGGCTGAACGTAGCTCACTCAGAGCAATTTGGGGGAGGTGAAGAGAGGGCACATGAGCTTCCTCAGCAAGTTCCACCAAGAGGGCTGTCATTGTCCACCCTCCAGATGACCCTAGCCTCTGGATATTCTACTGCTGCCATGGTAGAGCAGCAAGTCCAATAGAAGTGGGTTGCAAGCCATATTTGTACTTTTGAACTTTGCAGTAGCCTATTAAAATAAGTAAAACATAAAATGAAATTTATTTTAATAATATATTGGGTCATTGGAAAAGTCATGATGTATTCTACGCAAAAATGCATCAAGACTTTTCCAATGACCCAATATTTCGTGAACCCACTATAGCCAAAATACTATCGTTTCAACCTGTAATCAACATAAAACATGTAATGTGATAGTTTATATTCTATTATTTATATTTATATTAAGTCTTAGAGATCTGGTATCTATTTTAACCAAATGGTATATCTTAATTTGGACTAGCCACATCGCCAAACTGCAGTAGCACCATGTGATGAGATCACTGTACTGGACAGAGCAGCTGTAGAGCTGTGTCCACATGTAGCATCCTAAGAATTAGTTAGAAGGTTTAATAAAAATGCAGGGCCAGGGGTCAGCAGGTGGCATGGTGCTTAAGGACACTGGACTCTCACAGGGCTGACCGTGGTTTCAGTCCTGGATCTGGCAGCTTGCTTTCCCACTATCCCTCCTCTTTTTCTCTCTGTCCTTCTCTGGTCAAATAAAAATAAATAAATAAAGTTAAATAAAATAATTCTTTAAAAAAAATGCAGGGCCAACCATTGGTGTCATCGTTATGGCAGCTGGATCTCACATAGTCAGCAGTGCTGTCAGAGTTCTGGACCCAGTCACTTGAAAAACCAAGCCACAAGGGCCAGGACTCTGACTGCACTGCTGGCCATGTGGTATTCAGTTGCCTTAACCATGACCAAAATTCTGAAAGGAGGAAAGAATGGAGAAGAAAGGACTACATAATGACCATTCCTTATGGGGGTGTGTTGTCTCCATCATCTCCTCCAACCCTTTAGGGGTAAGTGCATGTGCTCTTTGACGATTTTTTTTTTCCCAATAGGGCACATACATTTGTGGGAGAGAGGTAAAATAAAAGTGAGAAATCACCCTGCAGGGGGCATGGTCATGCTGCAATCCCTTCTCCTCCATTCTCCTCTTAGAATTTTGGTCAGGGATACACACACATCAGGCAGGCTTTTCAAGTCACTGGGTCTGGGACTTGAACCAAGGTTGACCATGTGAGAGTCCAGAGCCTTAACCACTACTACTGGTCATGACAGAACATTTTTTTTAAAGTACCAATTGTAGGTCTCTTACTCCACACAGATAGCATTTTCATTCTGGGGCTTTCTCATGAATTATCTTGTCCCCGCCCCCCCAAACTTTGGGAGTATCAGGTTAGTCATTCTCATTTTAATAATGGAGAAACTGAGGCTCAACTGGAAGCAATTTACATTAAATCAACTCTTTCTGAACAACTTATGGTGAAAGTTTATTTATGGTGTTGTTTTCCAATCCACTGCAGACTGGTAACAATTCAGAGGCTGTGCCCTGTATGAATTATTAAATGAATTTGGTAGCAGCACAACTGGTCCACACTGTGGAATGATTCGTGTCCACTGATCCCACATTTGGGTGTCACAGCAATGTCAAGGTGTCATAAAGGTTTTGAAGGGCTCATGCTCAAATTCTGCACACAACATTGCAGTGAAAATAATATTTGGTAGCTGGCATTGGCCTCATGGATCACACTCTGAGTTCCACATCACTGACTTACATAGGTAAGTGGTAAACACAGGATTTTCTTGTTTGTCTTACCTAGTTTGTTCGATTATCGTTTTTCACTAAAGTACAATATGCATATGAAAAAGTATGTAGTTTGCCAACTGGACAGTCATATAATCAAGATTATTAACAGGTTCAACTCTTTCTCCTCAGGTGCCTATTCAATCTTACCTGCCTCCTAGAAAGAAAAGATAGCCTCTATCTGACTTCTAACAGCATAGATAGTTTTGCTTGTGTTTGAACTTTATATAAATGGAATCCTACGGTATGTGTTCTTTTGTCTGGCTTCGTTCTTTCAATGTTATGTTTGTGAGATTCATTGGTGTTGTCATGTGCAATTGTAAATCATGCATTCTCCTCTTATTCAATAATCTACCCCTGACACTGGACTAAATCCAGATTTGTCTGAAGCCTGTGCTCTTTATTCTACACCACACGGCCTAGCTTGGAGACAGTTCATTTATTGAAGAATGTATTTGTTCACTTACTTCCTTCTCTTCATCAAGGCTTCCTGCATACTCCTGAATTCTGGTCCCTGCACTGAGTACTTCTGGGGGTCCCCATATGCATAAGAGTCACTCTCCATTCTCAAGTGGCTTCCATTCTAGGGACCCAGCTATACATACAGCTTATATCACTATATCTTCCATCAAGGATGACATAGCATGGCCAGACCCAGGCAGAAAAGGTAGCACATTCATTTTACTTCAAAAATAAGCAATTTTCTGTCTCTGGCAGTGGCACCAAATATTTTAGAGGAAAGGCTGATTTTTCTCTTGTATTTAGTAGTATTTGATGGTTTATCCTTGAGGAGACAGGCAGACTTTGCTCCAAGCAGAGTGAGCCCCAGGAGAAAGCAGAGAGCTGGAGGCTTTGTGCATTTCATGAGCGGAGCCTGAGCACATACATCCAATGCCCAGGTGGCCACTAACTTTAGTGCTCTGGATGACCTGGTCATGGACGTGCCTCTGCTCACCCCTGCCCAGTACAGCCCTTCAAAGAAGGAAGTGTTGCTAGGACCTGCTTCTCTGGGCTTGAGGGCTTGCTGCAAAGGTATTCACTGAGAATGCAGGGTAATTTTCATCCCTGGAGACTGATGAGGGATAATGTATAAAATTCCCAGAGTCCTCACCCATGATAACCCCTGTAGTATCTTGCGCACCTGAGGGATGTGGCTCCACTTAACCTCCAGAAGTAGCTGGCTTGAAATATACTGATCATTGGTCACCTTTCTTTTTCTTCTCCACTCCTTACTGCTGTACTGGTGTCTAACTTCTCACTGATCTTCTGATATTGAATCCTTGTTGCAGAATTTGCTTCTGAGAATGCCAAACTTAGGCAAAGTGCTCAGGAGAGAATGGAGCAAAGACCTGCAGATGACATGAAGTCAGAGCAGAGGACAGAGAGTTCTAGTTTCCAGCCAGAGGGAACTGCCCAGACAAAGGCTTGGGGTGGGAAAAAGATTGAACAGAGAAAAGTCCATGGTGACTGAGCTTGCAGCACGCTGCTGGATTTTGGTTTGCCCTAGCGGCAAAAGAGGAGAAATAAAACGTTCTGCTTGCAGCAACTTACCCCAGCACAGTAGTGCAGAAGATGTGCCCTTGTATTCTTTCAAATTCTGTCCCAGTCCCCCTGCCTGGGCTGGTGGCAACTACATTGATATACAGATACTAGGAGGTAAAACTCATGCCTTATTTACTAGCCAATTCCTTTCCTGAGCTCCAAATTCAATCCAAAAGCAACTCAATTTCCACCGAGCTGTCAATATAATATACCGTGCTCCTCTGCTCTCCTAACCTTTCCTAGTATTACAGGATCCTCACTTACGTGTAATGAAACACTATGAATAAATCAATGTATGTTAATATAGCGTGCCTTCAATTTTTTATGAAGGGCTTCACCAAATCTAATTCCCACTGCTTTGTCAGAAACAGTCTTTGAAAAATTTAACTTGCAAGTTTTACGAAGTTAGTGGAGGATTGGGCTGGGGAGGGAAAGAAGAAAGGTGAGAAAAATGAAATGGGATGGAGCTGTGGCCATAAATGCATAATGCAATATGAATCTTTGTTTGGAAGTGGAGAAAAGGAAAGATTTGTTAGAATAGCGAACATAAAATAAAGGGTTGGTGGGGAAAGGGATACAGAGCTGCACAAAAACTCTGGGCTCTAGGGAGGGGGTCTGACTGAAACAAAGTGCTCAAGGGCATCCTCTTTTGCCTCTGGCTGCTGATAGGGGGATCCCCAGCCAGAAAGCAGAGCAAGCACTTTACAACAAAAATGCAGTCACATCCTAAGGCCGATGGTTTCCTGTAGCTCTTGAGGCTATGACTGCATCCTTATCCTGTGGTCTAAATTAGCTCATCCCATGAGCTGGCTTCTTCCTTCCCTCTTGCACCCCAAGCCTTATTTTGATACCTGAAAAGAGCCATGGTCTCTTCTGCCATAGGACCTTCACACCGGCTAGTCTGTCAGCTTGGTACACATTTTCCTGTCATGCCTCCTTTTTGCCTAATTTATGGCTCCCCATCCTCAGACCTCACTTAACATGGCACTTTTTCTGAATATCTTTTCTGACCTAGGAGTCAGAAAAGGTGAGCCAGAGAGAGAGAGAGAGAGAAAACCAGGGAGCCAGAAAGAAAAAGCGAGAAATATGGGCCAGCATGTGGCCTGTTAAGATGCTGGATTCCACATGCCTGACTGCGTGGTTTGAATCCCAGACCCGGAGGCTTGAAAATCACTCTGGGCATGTGTGTGCGCATGCCCAAAATCCTGAGAGGAGAAAGGAGAAGGGATTATAGCTTGGCTATCTTCCCTTGGGGTTAGGGGTGTGATTTTCACTTTCTCTCTCTCTCTGTTGAGCATAAGCTTGAGAACAATGGGACATGCACAGTCTGGCAAAACTAAAAGGTTATGCAGAAATCACTCCCAAAGAGATGACCCCAAAGTGAGGAAACACATGATTTTATCGACCTAAGTGCTCTTAATATTTTTTTAGAGAGATTTTTGCTATGGGGCATGTGCACTCACCGAGAGACAGAGAGAGACAGAAAGAGAGAAATCACCCCTCAGGGGGATGCCCATGGGGCAATCCCTTCTCCTCCATTCTCCTCTCTGGATTTTGGGCATACACACACATGTGTGTGG